AACTTTCGAACCCAAGTAACCGTTTCTTGTTTATAGCAAAAATGTTGTGTTCTTCGTTGTGTTACCGACAGGCTCAAAGAATCTGTAATTTTTCTCCGATTATCTGTGCAAAGTTTTCATTTTTTTACAAGTCCGGATTCAGAAAAGCGTTAGAAATTTCTTAAATCTTGCATGTTTTAAGACGAAAGATTCGAATTTTATGATTTGGTTACCTTAAATCTTCTAAATTTTTGAACTCCAAAGAGATTAATTCGTGTTCGAGTCAAATTAACTTTTAAGTTTTGGTGGGTCGGGCAAGGGAGGGAAGGTTAGTGACAAAACTTTTTTAGAAGAATCGAAGAAAGAAAGATTCACTTTATTCCGTTTTTTGACTGCTTTTGCTCATTCTATTTGGTATTTCAGTTATAATGTCCAGAAAGGTACATTTTGTGTTGCTTACAAGAACTATGATTAAGGATAATTTGATCTTAAGATTGTGTCTTTTATCTTCATTTTGGCTTCAGATTCTTTAGACGAAATTAAGACAAAGGAGGTGAATTTCAGACTTTGTCAATGGAGCATTACGAGGTTCTTGAGCAAATTGGAAAAGGGTCATTTGGTTCAGCTCTTCTTGTGAGACATAAGCATGAGAAGAAACTGTAAGTACTTAAACCTATAACAGGATCGTGTGGATATAATGATGTTTTCTGAAATTTGAGTTTTCTGTAATGTTCTGCTCTTAAGGTATGTTTTGAAGAAAATCCGGCTTGCTCGGCAGACTGGTAGGACAAGAAGATCGGCTCATCAAGAGGTTGTTTAAAATCTCTTCTGTGCTGAAACATTCACATACATTTAGGCTTTAGCGAAGCCTAGTCATATGCAATTTTTAAACATTTAAAACAAATGTAGCTCCTTTGTCACTTCTTAGACATGGATCATGGAATTTGAACTCTTGGAAGGATAAAAGTGTAGACACTAGCCCTTGATGTTGCTTTGTTGTTTAATGTCGATTGTCTTTTCGGATACGCTGTTATGGATCATACGGCATTCTTGAGCTAGAGATGTTGACTNTTGCTCTGTAGACTAACAATCTCCTGTTATCCCCTCATAGATGGAGTTGATTTCAAAGATAAATAACCCATTCATTGTCGAATATAAAGATTCTTGGGTCGAAAAGGTATCATCTATACATATCTTTTCGTTTCTTGAATATATTATTTGAAAATGTAACCAGCTCTATGGTCGACATGTGCTATTAGGGGTGCTATGTGTGCATTATCATAGGCTATTGCAAAGGCGGAGACATGTAAGCTTATTTCTCCTCAGCAGTTTTTTGGCTGTTCTTGACTAGAGAAGAGCTTCCTCTGATACACTTACTGACTTTTCTGCTTCTTCTGCATTACAGGGCGGAAGCGATAAAGAAAACCAACGGAGTACACTTCTCTGAAGAGGTTTGTGCGAGACATGTTTGATGGATTCTGGCCATTGATTCAGAAATCTCTGAATCTCCTCTTTTTTTTTTGTTATCAGAAACTCTGCAAATGGCTTGTTCAGCTCTTATTGGCTCTTGAATACTTACATGCCAATCACATTCTCCATCGTGATGTCAAGGTTGGTTATAATGTTTTGTCTCAGGATCAATACAATTTATCGAAAAATCTCCATACTGATACAGAACTAACCAATTTCGATGCATCCAGTGTTCGAACATATTCTTAACAAAGGATCAAGATATTCGTCTAGGTGAGATGCTTGGCAAATTTGTCACATTTTATGTTTTTCTTTATCAGTCTAACACAACACTGACTATAATGTAACAAATCGGTTCTATGATATCTGCAGGCGATTTCGGACTTGCCAAGGTCTTAACATCAGATGACCTTGCATCTTCAGTAAGTATAGTTTCCTTCAATTTATCAGATATTGGTTTGTTTTTGGACTCAGTTCTGATCGTTACCTTTCTTGAAAACCCAGGTGGTTGGAACGCCAAGCTACATGTGCCCCGAGCTACTAGCTGATATACCCTACGGGTCCAAGTCTGACATTTGGTCGCTTGGCAAGTTTCTCATCCATGGCTAAGATTCTTATCCCTTAGCTTTAGATAACGAAATAATATATTAATCTGAATCTTTATCTTCTTTTCTTCAGGTTGTTGTATGTATGAGATGACGGCTATGAAACCTGCATTCAAAGCCTTTGTAAGCTCTGAGACCTACATTTACGTTCCTTCGGAATATGTTCATCAGAAGTATCTGACTGTTGTTGACATCTGAAATTGTTGCAGGACATGCAAGGACTAATAAACAGGATTAACAGATCAATCGTTCCTCCACTTCCGGCGCAATATTCTGCTGCCTTGTAAGTTTATAGGATCTTGTCTATCTCAAAGTGAGATCTGTTATAATATACTGACTTACGCAATTGCTTTCTTCAGCCGAGGTCTGGTTAAGAGCATGCTCCGGAAAAATCCAGAACTCAGACCAAGCGTACGTCATATGATTCTGTCCTTTGGTATATGGTCTACCTGAAACTGAACACACTTGACGAGTAAATGTCATCTCTCTTCTTCTGTATAGGCTGCTGAGCTTCTCAGACAACCGCTGCTTCAGCCATATATCCAAAAGATTCAACTGAAGGTGAATGATCCAGGAAATAATGGGTTGCCTGCCCAATGGCCAGAATCTGAATCCACCAGAAGAAACAGCTTTCCTGAGCAGAGAAGGCGTCCTGCAGTCAAAAGCCATAGCTTTGGCCCAAGCAGGTTTAGGGGTAACCAGGAAGATTCGGGTTCTTCCATAAAAAAATCTGTGCCGGCGTATCTGAACCGTGAAAGGCAAGTGGATTTGTCTACAAATGAAAGTGGTGATGGATCTGTTGTCCGTAGAACTTCAGAGGCTTCTAAGACTTCTAGGTATGTACCAGTGAGAGCTTCGGCCTCACCTGTGAGATCGAGACAGCCTAGGAGTGACCGTGGTCAAGTAAGTAACTCATCCAAAATGCTCTTTACTGGTTTTACTGATTGTTTTATCAGAATAAAGAACCGTTGTTTCTATAATGTTGCAGCTTCCTGTTTCATCTCAGCATACAAACCGAAAACCGGTGGCTTTGATTCGTAGAGCCTCCATGCCTAGCTCAAGAAAGCCTGCTAAAGAAATCAGAGACTCTCTGTACAACTCAAAAACCAGTATTCTTCACCAGATAAAATCTCCTGATGTGTCAATAAATGCACCAAGAATTGACAAGATTGAGTTTCCGTTAGCATCATACGAGGAAGAGCCATTTGTTCCGGTTATGCGTGGGAAGAAGAAGAAAGCATCGTCTAGAGGTTCCTACAGTCCACCTCCAGAGCCACCACTAGACTGCTCAATCACAAAAGACAAATTTACCCTTGAACCAGGCCAAAACATAGAGGGAGCGATTATGAAGGCAGTGTATCAGTATGAAGATGCATACCCTGAAAACAGGAGCGAATCATCTGATCAGAATGCAACTGCTGGAGCATCAAGCAGGGCCTCGTCGGGCGCAAGGAGACAAAGATTTGATCCTAGTTCATATCAGCAACGGGCCGAGGCATTGGAGGGATTGCTTGAATTCAGTGCAAGGTTGCTTCAAGATGAGAGGTACGATGAGCTGAATGTCTTACTAAGACCCTTTGGTCCAGGCAAAGTCTCACCCAGAGAGACAGCGATTTGGTTGTCCAAGAGCTTCAAGGAAACTACTACTAAGCTGGAAGATTGAGAAACGGATCATTTCTAATTCTAACCTGTTGTGACGTGAAAAAAAGACTTTTACTTTTGACAATTTCTTCATCAAACGATGTCCAGAAAATTGTTTCAAAGTTAACTACTTGTCAGAAAAAAGTTAACTACTTAGGCTGTTTTCTTTAATGAGTAGATAACCTCTCTGTATCTGGTACATTGAAATTCAAGAAAAGACTTGGCCGGTTAGCAAATTACTACTTCTGTTGTCTGTTTGATGCTATTTTTCAGACAATTTTCTGAACTCCAGCACAAATACATGAATGTAAACATATTTGAATCAGACAACATCGAATCCTGAATAGACTTGAAGCAACTGGAAAAGAGTAAAACCAGCCAAATGTCGAGACGCAGAGTGTGCTAGCCAGAACGAGCAGGGCGGATATTAAGCGCTAGTTTAGTGTCTTGTGATATGCAACCTAAAAAGCAGTGTGTAAAATGTTGAGAGATATGTTTTGACTTTAATTTGTAAACTTTAGCACCAAATTCAAGAGAATCAGTAATCTTCTGAGATATAGCAGTTTTAGTACTTACAGAAGTTGATGTCTTTAACAGCTCTCTGATTGCCATTGTTGCATAACAAGAAGATGGAAGAGTAAGAGCCATTTTGAGCGCCAACTGTGTTTGCTCAGAATCTGGATTTCCAGTGTCTTTTCCATCCTTTTTGCTGTCTGTTTGGTCTTTCAACTCGGTTTCACACGATTCAGGTGCGATAGTATCAGATTTCGTCGATTGTTCTTCAATTTCTTCAGCAGATCCAACCTTATCCACAGGCTTTTCCATTGTTATTCTGTCCAGATCCGTTTCTGCCAGTGGTTTATTGCCGTCAGTGTAAGTCAGTAATTCCCTGCAGCAATTTACCCACAGAATAAGTCTCTGCTTCCAAATAATCTTTGATGTCAAAACTGGAGGAAGTTCTAATTATACAAATAGTGTACCATTCAAAGTCGATCGGTTTCTGAAAAACACGTCTATAACCACCAGTCATGCTAGTTATTGAGAATTCCCTGAAACAATACTTGTTATTAGTAGAATAAAGTAGATGCTCGTGGTGATGCAGAGTGACACAAGCATAAGGATCTACAAGAAAAAGAGGATAAGGAAATTTACTTTACTCCGTGAATACTCTCCGTTAGGCTGATACCGTCCTGAGCAATATAAGCAGAAATTTTATGGATTTCATCAGCAGATGTGTAAAATTTCAGAAAGAATACACCGAGAATAAGTGAGCTTAGGTTTTCTAGAACATACAGGGAATGCTTGAATTTAGCTTAACAAACCTTCTTTGCCAAATCATGGAAAATTTCAGCAATGTCATTGGACGGGTAAATGATTCTGGAACTGTTGAAGCAAAGAGAAAGGTGTTTTTGGTTTCAAGAAGTACAATGTTCAAACTACTTATGGAAAATTCTGACAGCAACTTACCCAGGTAGAGGGAGGACGATGTCACTGGTCGAGTAAGTTCCAGCTTCCATATCCTCTATACCTACAACCTGAAGAACACAAAAGGAAGCAGCACAACATGAATAATGTTAGTTACTAACAAATACTAATGAAAATATAAATGCATTAAAGCATCTATTTGAATACGGAAAAAGCAATGCAGAAATCTTTCCATTAGCTCATCATAATCTGAAGGAATTTTCACACAAGTTGACGGCCGCAAAAGTTTTCAACAACGGACGTCCTAATCAGAAGTTCGAAATAAGAAACTAACCTTAACAAGGTCACTCCTTTCTCCTGGAAGATCAACAACAGCAGTATCATCTAATTGGTCACAATCCAATGCCTCTTCGTTGTTTTCCTTGTGCTCAGAAGTCAAACTGCCGACAATTCTTTTTGCATCATCTACCTTTGTACTTACTAAGTCACCCAACACAACTTGGTTGGTCCCTGACACACCAAAGAAACAAGTGGGGGAAAGTTGAAAAACCTCCATTCACAAGCATACAGAACGGTCCAAGAGACATTAAGAAGAAGAAAAAACTGCTTTACCGTATTTTTGGACGCGCAGACTTGCTGCATTGTTCCATAAGTAGCTTTGATAACTATGTACATACCTGCATAATAAAGATTACATAAGCTAAAACACTTGCTCTGTGCCCTTGGCTTCGCTTGGCATGCCATATTCCAGTGGAAAGAAGCAACTGTTCCGGAAAGAACTAAACCAAATTCTTACATCATTCTCAAAGTTCTGGGTATGCCTTTCAGAGCCTGCAGGTAGTTCCCAGGACATTTCTTCAGACACTGCAGCTGTTTTAAAACGCCCAAGATTAAAATTGAGTATTATGGAAGCCCATTACTGGCAGAAACCAATACAGGGGTAGCTGGATACTTACAATGGCTCTTTCAGCAACGAGGTATCGCGGTAGTTGCCTTAGAGCCCCATCAATGTCGCCAGATTCTTTGTAATATTCCCGGGCCTCATTTACATCACTCCTTTGTAGAAAAAGCTCAAAGTCAAGAAAAACAAAGGCATTGCTGCGCTCCTATATTCGTAGGGCCACTAATATGGTTTTAACAGGTATTAGCAATTGTAGCTGAGACCAAGTCATGTTAAAGGATATCACTTTCTCTTGGGTCAAGAATCATGTCTACGGCATCTTTCCACTCTCCTTTCAATAGTGCAGCTCCAACATGGTGGGTTGGTACTGAACCACTTCCAAAACGCTGTCATACAAGTCACAAAATTTATAACAAAATATTAATAATATGATTCAAGTGACGTCTTTCGAGAAGCCATACTCGATACTACAATGCAAAAGCGCAAGTCGCCTTGGCTACTAAAAAGAGCAAATAATACACATATATAATTACAACTAGACGAGAGAATAATACCTGCAAGCCAAAGTAGTTGATGAAGCCATCTTTGCCCAAGGATTCTGCAGACTTTTTGATAGTTTCTTCAGAATCCGCAACCACTCCTCTGATAATATGATAAAAACAAAATTATTGAAGAAGAGAATTTCGAAGTTACAGACAGATCATAAGATTTTTTTTTTAACCAAGAATTTCTAAGTTACAGACAGTTACATTATCACCTTAATGTGATGGTAAATCTGTTTCCCATGAGCTGCCCAAGAAGAAGGCCCTCTTTGACATGGCTGGAAAGCACCAGCAATCATCATTACCATTAAGATCACAAGAAAAAGTCAATATGAAAACATTCAAGAGTATGTTGGCTTACCAGAAGTCACCAACTTTGATCCCAAACAGTCTCTTGTTAAGCGCAGCCAATTTGCTAGCTTGCTGTTTGAACACAGTTACCTAGAAGCCCAAACAAAATCCTATTATGTAACTGTGACAATTGAACTCATCTTACCAAAGAAATAGGTAGAGATAACTTACACGCTGAGTTGAAACTGACCGCTTATCTTTTGTTCCAGAAAATCCGAAGGACTTTGGCTGAAAAATTGAAGAACCAATTCAACATACAGCTTATCACAGGAAGTACAATGGCTAGAGAAAAACAGGTCATTTAATGACGGAAGAAGATGGGAATCACCTGAACGCCTAGCATCTTTCCGATCAATCCCAAGGCCTCTTGTGTATCTTTGTTCTCCTTGTAAANATGGAACCTATAAACATACCAGTCATAAATCAAGTGACACATATGTATCAAATCAAATACACAGTAAATTCTAGGCCAGATATAAGTTGTTTTATGGCTATTACTTGACAAACTTGCCAACATGCTCTGGCCAATGCTCTGAACCTCTGCTATCAAAAGGCTTATCGCCTCTTTCCTTCCTCTTTTTCGATCTTTTCCCTCTGCTCTTAAGGTCTCCTGAATTCACTCGCACACGGATGCATTTTGAAGTAGGATCAGGACCATCGACAGTGTCGGTCACTAGGAACTTTAAATTTTCTTTAACAAAGTTGTGGATAGCCTGGATAGTAGCATAAAAAAAATCTGGTAAGAAGTCAAAAGATAATGTCAATAACTGGATATGTAAATTATGCAATAAATCCTATACCGTTCTCTTGGACTTGTCAGAACTTGGATCAAGCACAATTGGTGAGATTTCATCATCAGTTCCTGTGGTGACTTGATTAATCAAAGTTTCCAAACGCTCTGCATCAGTGACACTGGAAAGCGATCTGAATGACTCAACTGCAGAAGCATAGCTTTGGGGTCCATTATCTGAACTTTTCGTTTTATCTTCCTCCTTCACATCCTGAACAAATGACCAACAAACAGCATCGCATTG